GAGATAGTCAGGTTGAGATTCGGGTTTGATAATCACAGCGCTGAAAAAAAAAACTGACCCAGCATCAAGATAAAGAACTTCGATAAAGCGGTAGTTATCGAGTATTATAACTTTTCTAATCAAAGTTTGACGTTATAGTATATCCTCCAAATATTTTCTCCATGAAATCATCTTCCGTAATCGTTCTTGATAGATATTTTTCTCTGATTTCAATAGTTTCCCAATTTTTGACATAAGAACTAATCCTCATCAGCATGTGCGATTAGCTAACGGTATACACCCAGACCCTATTATTTTGAAACGCGATCATGTATTTCCAGGAATCCTGATTTTGTAGATAAATTTAAAACTCAGGGTGATATAAAGTTCAGTATCTCCTCGCTATGTCCTACATTTAAAAAAATATTACTTTGATTCAACACAGTGTAATATTGTGAATGATTTAGAATTTCAAGACTATCCACTGCTAAAATCTCCCAAATTCACAATGTAATATCTCAGAAGTCATAGGAGATACTGAACTTCATCACACCGGGTATTAATATTCTGACATGATTTTCTGACGTATGAACAATAATAATAATAATTTGTTATCGTCACTTAGACATTCGATAATTTTCATATAGTAATTTTTTGTATGAGCTTCAATGCTCGTATTAGCTTCATTCTTAATGAATAATAGATTCGGAATCCTCATGACATTCCACCTTGGATTTTATATATTGTCGTAAAATATGCATATAAAAAAGTTTGAGCAATATTTAATGAAGTCCCAACCTGTATACTACACTACCGAATGAAATTTTGGAATGATTTTATTTTCACCGCATTGGGCATGGATAGTTTAATTGTATCGAATTGCATCATTGTATCACATGGCGTTTCGGAAATATTCAAGAAATATCATCTTCAGGAATCCCCTTTCATTCGTTTTTTTTAAAACACGCATTTTACAATGAAGATGTGAACAAACCGCTATCTATTGAGATATTTTATGAAAAAATGCGAAATTTCACCATGTTTTGCCACCCATCTTGGATATCCAATCACATTTATATATTTGTCTTTCTTTTCCCATCATTGCACATTTTATACAGGGTGGCCCACGGTCGATGGTACCTTAGACGTATACGGAAAACGGTACATTGGATTATCCTGAAAATTTGGTTACTCTAATAAGCGTTTGTGATCTAACGATTCAAAATATTTTCAGCGATGTAGCGTTGCCACTTTTACCAAAAAGTAGCATCATCTTTGTTATTTCAAATGGAACACCCTGTATTTCATTGCGTTTTTAGATTCTTCTCGAAGAGCTGATTTCATCAATGCATCACACTTGGGGTCTAGCAGGAATTATGACAGAGATATAGGGTGTTCAAAATCGAGATTTTTCAATTTCAGGAATTTTTTGTGTCGAAACTATTCATTATCGATCAAAACGGCTTACATGTCCCCATCTTAACTTTTGATTCACTATCTACTGACATTTAATTGGAACAGATACAGGATGATCAAAATTCTGAATCTTGGACCATCCTGTATTCCATTTGAAATAACAAAGATGATGCTACTTTTTGGTCAAAGTGGCAACGCTGCTTCGCTGAAAATATTTCGAATCGTTAGATCACAAACGCTTATTAGAGTAACCAAATTTTCAGGATAATTCAATGTACCGTTTTCCGTGTACGTCTAAGGTACCATCGACCGTGGGCCACCCTGTATACTCACGTTGAACTTCAATAACACATTTCATTTCCTTAAATCAACAAGAAGTATTGTTTATTTGTTTTTTTTTCGCATATTTAGTGAGGTAAACAATAGTTTAGTTGACGGCCATTCAATTATCAAATCTAAATACAAATCACAGAACTCAAAATACAAATACGAGATGTCAAATAAAGGTCAAATGTCAAAAAAAAATTGCAAGAAACTCAAGAAACTAAACTATTGTTTATCTCACTAAATATGAAAAAATTCCTAATAAACCATACTTGTTGATTTTAGGAAATATACAGGGAGTCCCATTAGTAATGGATCAAAAGAAGTGGAGTAGTAGCAGGGGTCATTTGTAATCAAACTAACGGTATATGTTGTTATAAGATTGTTGATGGTTCGGAAGTTAGTTAATTTTTCTGAAAAATGCGACCCATTTGAAAAAAATCAATAACAAAAAGGCTGTTTTGGATAACTCCATATGTTATACCATCTCGGAATCAGTATTAAATGGGCAACTGTTTCTTATGATTGGTCATCATTGTGGGGTAGTTTTTAAAACTGCCAGCAGCATTTAAGAATCGGCTTGAATATCTTATTCGGTAACAAAACTCAAGGAAAACAACATTTTCCTCCGATTGGCAGCAAATATTAATTTTGCTGACACATATCGATCAGCAAAGTATTACTTTTCCTGCCTAGGCAGCAAAGTGGTTGCTTTGCTGATTGATCTGTATCAGCAAAATTAATAATCCATAAATCGTTTATAATTTCCTTCATATTTCATCCGAGACCTCTCCGGCAACAAATTCAACTCTATATATTTTTTGCCACCTCCCTTATTTCTGGAGGTGTAAGTACTTCCAGGTCGCTATCACTGTCCATTATATAATAATTTAAATAAGTATACCGATATTTTTTCGCACAACTGTCAGAAATTTCATGAATTGTCAAAATATAATTATTATGGACATTTTCATAGCAAACAACCATTCCAAAAACTGCGATTTCTATCAAATTTTATTTTAATTGAACACTACAGGAAAAATAAAGAGATATATATCATTATGAACAATTGGAGAAAAATTATATGTTCAACTCGGCAGCAAAGTAGATTGGCTGCCTCAGCTGGATTCCTAGCCTCGCTACGCTCGGCTATGAATTCAGCCTCGGCAGTCAATCTATCACTTTGCTGCCTAGTTAAACAAATAACTATTTTCTTAGATAATTGATAAGAAGTGATACATGTCATAAAATTATTTCTGGGAAAAGGTGCATCCATCACTGATAAAAATACCCGATTGGTGACAAAAGAATGATGCTTTTAGATTCTTTTCTCTCCTGACAAAGACAATTTCTTCCTTTCAAATACATTGCTCTCATCTGCAGATTATTGCTGTTTTTGTAATAAGGTTTTGAATCTTTTGGCTGTAAATGCTTTTGAGAGAACATCATCGACCTTGTCTCTAGTCCTGCTTGGTTTGCATCTACCTCAAGATCACAAGACTTTGATACAAGATCTGAAATCGTTCGGTTGAGACCGTTGATGAGATCGAGTCTACCCGAGGTTAACCGAAAACATACCGACTCCGTTTGAGTCATGCGCAATGCATGGGTCGACCCCATCTTCCCATCATCCTTCTTCTTCTGCATCGTGCCGAGTACCGTCCCGTTGCCAATGCATTTTAGCGGCCATATCTGTCGTGTAGCGTTGTGCTGTGGATCATGAGCGATTCAGTGGAGTTTGAAAAACTTCTAGATGCGTTGCGTTTGAGCCATATGATGCAAACATTTCAAGGTAAGTACCCACCTATACTTATTTCAGTAGATAGTTATTTCATCATCATATAAAATGTTTCATGCGTTATTTTATAAAATAAATGAGTTTTTTATCAATGGTTGTTTTTTCAGGATTTCCACAATTCTTCGCCCAAGGATAAATACGAAGCTGAAACAAGTTGATGGGATATTTTAATTTTCAAGTATATTTCAACCAATGCAAAACGTTTTTTCGTCAGAACATCAGAACTAAATCTAATATCAACAAACCAATAATGGGGTTTTGTTAAGGATTCATAATAAAATGATCATCAAATGTTTTATAGAAATCAATTGAAATTCTAATTATTATTTCAACATTTTACAGGAGTATCCTCTCAAGAAATCTCCAGAGAATTTGCATCAACATCATAAACATTGTGTTCCAAGACCATAGGATATTGGATCAAACATTTGCTGTATTTAAAGCGAAGCCCTATATTTCAATACAATAATACCATATCTTTCATCTTAAATCTCATAACTTTGAAATGATATTTCAATGATTTTGACCAAAAATCATTGTTCATTATGATAAGTTCAGGGTATTTTGCTATAAACTCATATATCATTGGGCTGAAGAAATCATGGCAATTACCTCAACATTCCCCATAAGTTGGGAAAACTACGATTTTAAGCCAAAAGCATTAGTTATTAGGGCAAAACCAAAGTTTCTTGCCTCGAATTTATATAATTTCAAGCTAAAGAAAGTTAGACGCTTGCCTCAAAGTTTTTGGAATATTGGGCCGAAATGTCCATGCATTCCGCCCTATTCAAATGCTTGGCGCCCTTGAGGTAAAGTCAAATTCCTTCAATCCAAGGAATCCTTTTTATCAGTGTGTGGATGAAATTACTAGAAGAAAAAATAAAAAATGTGACATAGTTTTATTGTAATTAATTCCTTTAATAGAAATGAAAAACCAATGATAACTCTTGAACCATCAACAATTGGATAACCACATATACAGTGAGTTTGATTGGAAATGACCCCCCTTCCTACCACCCCACTTATTTTTATCCATGACTTATGAGACACCCTGTATAATGTGTTATTGGAGTACAACGTGAGTATATAAAGTGTCCAATGATGGAAAAAGAAGAATAAGTGGTTGTAAATGATTATCCTAGAATTCCTAGATGGGTTGCACTTTTTCAGAAAATATCTCGATAAATAGCGGTTTGTTCACATTTTCTTTGCAAAATTCGTGTTTTTCAGACAAAAATACGTATAAGTAACAGGAAAATTTAAAAAAAAAACCCATCACATGATAAGTGCAGTTTTACCCAATTCTCCACTCACGTTCATTGAAAATGTTCTTCCCATTTTTGGGCGTAGAAGCCGCTGGTGAAATTTGGCAGGCTAATTTCCGGACACCCTGTAGATTCGGAATCAATCTTTCGATAATCCAAATCGGACACCTCCGAAGAATAATGGCAAATTGAATTGCGATGGTGTTCATGTTTTCTCTTTCGTTTCAGGCCATGCAAGACATGCTGAAATTCCAATCGGGCGACATGACAATCGAGTGGAGTTACATTCCCAGCAAAGATATACCGGGCGTCATCCTGCACGACAGGCTGATGACCGACGCAGCTCTGGGCACGAGGCCCATCAAAACAGAACACTCGTACAGTTTGGCCTCGGACGGCGACAGTTTACCAGATTCTCCTATATCGCACCATAAGGTCGACGGTAAGTGATCAAATCAGTGCTGCCAACACCAGAGGGATATTTTCAGTGATTTTTCTGGGAATCCTGGGTTCAAATTTATCATACCAGATTTGAACTCATTTTCGTACTAGATCCAAGTACAAGGTACTAGATTATTAATAGAATATCAGATTTTATAATCAGGCCTTTAGTAACTATATCTGCAGCACTGCAGCTTGGGAGTAGGGTCCCTTGATGTAAATTGACGTATTTGTCATCTTAACAGGGTACGGACAGATCCCCGTCTCCTCTCACTCTAAAGGGTTTGTGAAACAGTTATATAGTTCCATCTTTATTCATTTCTGGGGATAGATCGCGTGCACGATGACCGAACCTGGAGGCAAAATATTGAAACACAACCTCATTCTTCTGTGAATTATTGAAACACAACCTCACTTTTTTACTTGGTTACAGAGGAATCAAAGGATTGAAATAGTTTTTCACAATATTTTGGCATACGAATCGTGTTTTTTGTGCTATTCATTAATTCAAGCATGCCTTCGCATTGTGCTGTTGTACAATGCACAAAAAATGCAGCAAGAGACTAAGGAATATGATTTTTCAGGTAAATAGTAATCTCACATAGTTATCATTATTAAATGTTGTTATTCCTTATTAAAATTCCTTCTGCCTTCTGCCACTTCGGCAATACAAGCTCATACTGCTAATAGATTGAAAATGTCTACAACACACACGATCGTCAGCATGTCAGACCAGTCCTCCCGATTGATTGCATGAATCCAATCTTCTTGCACTATTTTAGAAATTTCAGGTGTATTTTTATTAGCTCCTATCGCAGAAGGAATTTCGATGAGAAATCAGAGAAATTACCAAATTACAATAATGAAAACTATATGTGAGTGACTATAGTAGGTACTTACTTTCAAATCATAATATACCAACCGGATTACATCGTCTTCCGCTGCAGTTTTTGTGCATTTCACAACAGCATAATGTGATGGCCTGAGCGAATTGATGAATAGCAGAAAAATACGATTCGTATGCCAAAATAATTGTGAAGAACTATTTCGATCACTTGTAAACAAATAAGAAAAGTGACGTTGTGTTTCAATGTTTTGCCTCCAGCCTCGGTCATCTGACAGTTCTTGCACGCAACCCATATTCTTAGCTTCTTCAAGAATAAAGTACTTCAAGAATATACCAAAATTCTGATAGGAAAATGCCATGTATTTCATGAAATATCTGGATCTACAATATTTATTCTCATTTATTTCAGTTTCTTCACCGGAAAATTTCATATTCTTCAAGTGCTGAAAACGTTGTTCTGTTAGATTCCATATCGACGTCATAACATTCTTGAAATGCAATAGGTTCTGTGGCATTTATGTACATAACATAATAATAACATCGCGAATGTGGAAAATAATCTGACATATTTTATCATCTATGCACCTTATCAGCATTTACATTTTATCCAAAATGCCTGTTCGATAAAAAACGAAATTCTTATCTGATATACTTTTGAGTGACAAAAATGTTGTAATATAGAACTCGAAATGATAAACCTACCCAACAACGTTGTATGATTTCTAATCCTTTTGTTATTATTTCTACTCCATATCAACGATTTGTTGGAAGCAACTTCATGTCCAGTACACAGCTTCGCGGATGATAGTACCCTCCATACCGCCTTTTCTTCCAGGGCTCCAATACCAGCCAGGAAAATCAGAAACGAACGAGAAGGAAATGTTGAAAACATAAATATGGATGTGGCAACAATTCTCGAATGGGGATCCAATAACTTGGTAGATTTCAATGCAAACAAAACACAAGCATGCCTTTTCTCTAGAAAAGCCGATCTCACTGTGCCCAACATAAGCTTTTCAGGAGTAACCATACCTCTGAAGACATCCATTTCGATGGTATTACTATCAGCAATAACCTTTCTTGGGTAAATCACGTGAGATCAATTGCTAAAAGTGCATCCCAAAAACTTGGTTTTCTGTTTCGGGCCAGGAGCTATTTCACTTCCAGTCAGCTGCTTATGATCTATATAAGGCACAGATCCGACCTGTCCTGGAATACTGTTACCATATTTGGAGTGCAGCACCCAAACATACCCGAAACTGTTGGATTCTGTCCAAAAAAAGGGTAATTCGTCTCGTGGGTGATGCCTCGCTCACAAACTCACTCACTTCTCTGGAACACCGAAGAAAAGTTGGCGATCTGGCTCTATTTTATAGATATTTTCATGGAATATCAACGATTGTTCCTCCCTTGACAGTCCCCGCGAGATTAATCCGTTGAGTTGAGGCTTTGTACCCTTTTGTGGTCACTTTGGAGACCTGCAGAACATCTCTTTCCAAAGACTCGTTCATCCAACGAACAGCGAGGCTCTGGAACACATTGCCAACTGAGGTGTCTTCGAGGCATATAACCTCCAGAAATTCAAGAAGAACACCAATTTCTACCTCATTTCCCTTGGTTGTCACGATGTTCTCTGAACATTACAGGACATCCCTTTTCGTGGGAACCAGAACATAAAATAAAAGAATAGATTTTGACATAGCACATAACATAACACATAGCATGCCTTTTCTCTAGGCATGTCAGGAGTAACCATACCTTTGAAGACATCCATTTCGAAGCTTGGTATTACTATCAGCAATAACCTTTCATGGGAAAATCACGTGATATCAATTGCTGAAAGTGTATCCCAAAAACTTGTTTTTTTGTTTCGGCCAGGAGGTATTTCACTTCCAGTCAGCTGCTTATGATCTATAAGGCACAGATCCGACCTGTCCTGGAATACTGTTCCAATATTTGGAGTGCAGCACCCAAACATATCCTGACCGGTTGTCATTATGAAAGCAGTATTTTCAATAATTAGCCATGACCATGATAGCATATTATGATAAGTCGTTATTGATAAATACCTACTAGATTCGAGTGTCATTCCTGCGAATCTCTGATCAGAATTAATTCTGTAAACTTTGATTCGGGTTAATTACAACAGAGGTGGCTATGTCATTATCGACTAGTGGTTCATAAAATGATAAATTGGAAATAATGATTTATGCAGACTGAGCTCTTACTATAGCTCATTTTTTAGTATGGCATGCAATTCAAGAAAAAATACTCAAAATTATTGGTGTGATGATATCTAACAGTTCACGAAATCATTTATGGCTAATTAGAATATTGGATTTGATTATATCTGTTATATAAATAGCTATAGTATCTGAGATAAGATAAGAAACTTTAATGAAAATGATGAATCAACTTGAAAAAAATAAGATAAATACTGATTAGTTCAAGTATATAGAAATAAAATGAAAATACAATTAGTTTATATTACATAACAAGAGTGATAAAAGTCGGATAAAATTATTTCTCGTCATATGCTTCTGAATTTTCATATGCAAATTTGCATATTTAGAAAGAAGTAAAATGTTTAAATTTTTTCGTTTGTTGATTTCTAATGATTCCAAATGATTGAGTTGCATTCCTTCATTTTCTACTTATAAAATGTCGAAATCGTCTTCAGAACTATGATTTTCTTCTAATATACGGTTCGTATGTTGAATTTGTTTTCTTTCCAAAAAACTCATATTATTTGTACATTTCCTACCTGTCTGACCAATATACACTTTTTGACAAGATCGGACAAGATCCACAGTTCAGTTCGTATACTTCTGATTTTTCGAATTTGTCTATATTATTTTTGTTTAATCTTTCCACGTGTTATTCGTTCTACAAGCAATTATTCTCTTTTTAGTGAAGCTGATTTGTCTTTCAATCCGAAATAAGTTTTACGGAGATTCTTCGAAAAAATATCTTCTTTCATATCAATGTTATTTGAGTTATTAATTGAAATTTTCCTCTGGCAGAGGGACATTCACTATAGCCTATGTATCATACTTACATAGAGGGTGTTTCATTGCCAATTGGAAATATTTCAACTATAGAATCCCGATCTCAAATAGTTCTTGCATATTCATCTTATTCCGAACAAGCAGCTTTGAACCTTCAAAGCTCGCTGAATTCTCTTCAGGAGTACTTCCTTTTATGAAAGATCAAATTGAATCCTGCGGAAACACAATAGGCGAGTGGAGTATTTTTTTTATTTCTTAAATAGAATCATCACTCAAATACCCTCCAATTTCATATTTTTTTTAGAATTTTTTGGTGGATTTTTAGGTGCTAAAATCATCAATAATGCCACGGTAATTTTCCAACGGATTGAAATTTACCGCGAGTAAAAACTGACTGACTGACGATTTATTAGTTATTCGAACATTCATAAATAACCAATTACAGTTCTCAACACACTAAATGGACCACTCATAATTTGACTCTTTTTCGAAGACCTGTATTTTTTTTTTAAATTGACCGATCTTCATGCGGTTTTCGATATCAGATGTGATATTTCATTGGCTTCAAAGAGAGCTAGAAAGCTCTGAGAAAGTCCGCAGAACAAAACTTTCACAGGGTGTAAAGTGGAACCATTACACTATGGTCTACATTTCCAATGCTGCCAGAACTCCAGAAATTTTTTTCTGATCAAAAGTCAGTCATATTATGATACATTGGGACCTCATCCCGCTACATTTTCGTGATTTCTTCTTAATTTGCCATTGGAACAAAAATGGGATTTTTTTTTCGAAAGTCTTGCATTTCTTGATTTTTTTCTCTAGAACTCCACTTGAGCTGAATATTGGGAAGAACTGTTCTCATGTTTTGTGGAGGACAATGAGAGACGAAAAAAGCACTATTGTGGAATATACAGGATGATAAGAAGATGGGACAAAATCTCATTTCAGTAAATAAAATCAAAAATGGTGATTTAAATCATGCCCCATTCGATTCAGTATATTCAGAAACGGCCTTCTCGATATCCATTATTTATATTAGACTATTGAGTCGAGACGTTTTCGAAAATTCGCCTCTAATTGAAATTTCAGAATCCTAATGAGCCGTTGGAGCTCATAAAGATAAAAAAAATACGAAGTAAATTGTGTTTGAGACAGGCCAATTTACTGTGACTGTGCCTCGATAGTCTGGGGCCACAGCTTACAAATATTGCATAACAAAATCGCCAGAATGGTGACATGATCTCCCTGTATGTTCGGAATTCTCAAATCAAGACCATCGAGAAAGCTGAGGATCATGAGAATCAGCTTCCTCGAAATGCAGTTGATTATGGCCCAGGTGATCAATCAAAGTTAAAAAGACTGAGATTGTCCATTCACTAGAGATTATATCAACATTATCGCCAAAATTGATGTTTTCAAGTTTTTCATATTTTTATTTGTTCCGCTTCATCTTTCTCTATGCTCATAATTCTTTTCAATCATTATCACTGATAAGATATAATCTCAGAATAAATTTCGCTCGCATTGAAGCCTTCAAATAAATACCAAAAAGATAATATCATTCCAATAGAACTGAATCAATGTGATTCAGTATTTACAAATTACTACATACAATGAGGTTTCAAAAAGTGGAAGCATGCTTTATTGAAATAATCTACTACAATAAAAGTTAAAATGTTTACAAAAATAACAGAAAATATCTGAGAGGGACGACACGGCGGCAATAGGTGTACAAAATATTCGGAAATGAATGGCAATACTTTGGGCATTATAGGCATTATCGACATTATTCGAAAGTGATCGACACTAAATGGCAATAGTCGGCATTGAAGAAGAAATGCATTGTTAGGCAATTGACGGCAATAGATATACACCCTGTATCTATTCCTATTAAATATATGTGAATAGTGAATCAAAAGTTGAGATAGGGACATATGTGAGCCGTTTTGACCAATAATGAATATCTTCGACACAAAAAAATCCTAAAGTCGATTTTGTACACCCTATATCTCTGTAATCTTTTTGGATAGACCCCAAGTGTGATACATCGATGAAATCAACTCTTCAGGGAAAATCTAGAAATGCCATTCGAAATATCAATGTTGCTACTACTTTCTAGTGGAAGCGGCAACACTCTATTGTCGAAAATATTTCGAATGAGGAGAGCTTTTTCTAAAATATTAGCATGCACATTTTCATGGATTTCTCCCGACTGATTCTCGATTCTTTGTTCAATTTATTGCAGACACTATTCATCTGCATATTCCAGTTCAGTCTTTGATCTAGGTGATGTTACCTCACTGCTAAATTTGATGTCATCGATAATTTGTAGATTGGGCGGCATATTATTCTTTCTGTTGTAAAAGTTAACTATATTACTGTCTTTGAGGAATTCAAAATCAATTTGTTCCTTCGACACCACGAACTGAAATCATCAATAATGTTATCAATGCGATCAATTCTTCGATATCCCCACTACTTACTGTAATGGTGGTGTCATCTGCAAACATTGTTATATGACAATTTGCAACATACTCTGACAATTCATTAGTATACAGTAAAAAAAGTAATGGCCCAAGCAGTGATGATGATGTTTTTTTTTTCTAGACATGGAAGAAGAATGTTTTCCCGCCATCTCGATGAAAACGGCGTGCGACCGACTGGAACAGGACTCCGTGTCCATCAAAGACGAGCCGCACAGCGAGACAGACAGCAACCACTCCTCCTGCCCCTCTTCCCCCCAGTCCATATACGTCAATGCCAGCGATATGCCTCTGGATGTCGAAATGGTCAGTTGAGTGTTAAAATTGATTTTTTTTTGTTTTCATGTTGAAATCACCTCAATCTCTGCAAAAAATGAGTTTTTCTACTATCGTACGAGAAAGTAAACTTTTCCGCACTCATATTAGTGTTGAAATAGTGACTTTACCGCACTAGTGTGGAAAAACTTTCAACACTCAAAGCAGGAGCAATCGCGTGCGATAAAGTATCACTCCTAAACTGATATTTTCACCCGAAATTTGACACGCGGTGTTTTTCTTGAGGTTGGAAATCACGCTGTCATTGATCATAGGTCGCGTGCACGAAGACCGACCCTGGAGGCAAAATATTGAAACACAACCTCATTCTTCTGTGAATTATTGAAACACAACCTAACTTTTTTATTGGTTACAGAGGAATCGGAAGGTTGAAATAGTTTTTCACAATATTTTGGCATACGAATCGTGTTTCTTGCGTTATTCATTAATTCAAGCATGCCTTCGCATTGTGCTGTTGTACAATGCACAAAAAATGCAGCAAGAGACTAGGGAATATGATTTTTCAGGTGAATAGTAATCTCACATAGTTAGCATTATGAAATGTTGTCATTCCTTATCAAAATTCCTTCTGCCTTCTGCCACTTCTGCAATACAAGCTAATGCTGCTAATAGATTGAAAATGTCTACAACACACACGATCGTCAGCATGTCAGACCAGTCCTACCGATTGATTGCATGAATCCAATCTTCTTGCATTATTCTAGAAATTTCAGGTATATATCTATTAGCTGATCCTATTGCAGAAGGAATTCCGATGAGAAATCAGAGAAATAACCAAATTTCAAAAATGAAAACTATGTGAGTGACTATAGTAGGTACTTACTTTTGAATCATAATGTACCATCCGGATTTCTTCATCTTCCGCTGCAGTTTTTGTGCATTCTACAACAGCACAATGTGATGGCATTAGCGAATTGATGAATAGCGGAAAAATACGATTCATATGCCAAAATAATTGTGGAAAACTATTTCGATCACTTGTAAACAAATATGTTTTGCCTCCAGGGTCGTTCATCTGACAGTTCTTGCACGCGACCTATTCAAAATGAGGGCTAAAATTTTCAGTCTCAGTTGGCGCTTCAAAAACGTAAGCTCAATGTCAAAGTCGAAAATTTCAAAATTTTGCCGGATAGCCCTAAAGGCTGTGGCCTGTTTTATCAAAAATATTCGGAAAAAATCATGTAGAACATTTGAACAAAAAGAAAACCTTGAGTTATGGAAATACTTGGACAGACTAACGTTTTTTCACTCTCAATGTGGAATTGTATGACCAATTCTTCACATTGACTCAGATGAAGATATCGTAGGAAGATACCAATGACACAAAAAGAAGAAGTATTTTTTATGAAAAAACTCCATTGAACACCTTCTTAACACGCTTAGGCTGTGGCTTAGGGATACTAGCTTGAAATATACAGGGTGATTCACATAAGAACCAACATAGAGCAGGGGCATGTAGGAGGTCCCAAAATATGTCAATTTAACGCAACTCACCTCTATACCAAGTTGCTTCCCTAAGGAGCTATAGGCTTTGAAAGTGAAGTTATAAATTTTGAAAAAAATCAATATCTCTTATTCTTGACCTTGAAGCAGCCAAATTTGGTACACTTTGTGGATGTATTTAGGGCGTTACTCGACAGTAACTAGAGCTCAATTGAAATTTGTAAAGGGGATATACCAGGTGGCGCACCATTAATATTCAACAGAATTTTGTTAACCCTCGATGAATTTCAAAAATCTTTGCTTTGTTGTGTGGGCAATTCAATTCTAAAACTTTTCTTACTCTAGTAATTTTTCGAAAAACCTCATCATTTTCATCAAAAACTCGAATAACTGAAAACGCGCGCTCTAGGTGTTATTTAAAATCATCGAAAATTCAAAAGTTGGCTATGACAATAAACGTACAACAAGAAAGTGAGTCATTAATTGTGATCAGTTGAAATTGGCTGGCAAATTATTATTTAGATACGTATCAAAATACGTAAAGTAAGATACTGAAATGTGAAAAACTGGGATTAACAACTAACCAAAATAAACACAAAAAACTTAACAACCCAGAACAAACAATTGTTTATCGATAAATTACTTAATTGAACAACTTACTTGCTTCATTGTCAAGTTTGACGGTTATTTTCATAGCCAACTTTTGATTTTTCGATGATTTTAAATTACACACCTAGAGCACGCGTTTTCAGTTATTCGAGTTTTTGATGAAAATGATGAGGTTTTTCGAGAAATTACTGGACTAAGAGAAGTTTAAGAATTGAATTGCCCACAAAACAACGCAAAGATTTTTGAAATCCATCAAGGGTTAACAAAATTCTGTTGAATATTAATGGTGTGCCACCCGGTATACCCCCTTTACAAATTTCAATTGAGCTCTAGTTACTGTAAAGTAACGCCCTAAATACATCCACATAGTGTACCACATTTGGTTGCTTCAAGTTCAAGAATAACGGAGTAACTGATTTTTTTCAAAATTTATAACTTCACTTTCAAAGCCTATAACTCCTTAGGGAAACAACTTGGTATAGAGGTAAGTTGCGTTAAATTGCCATATTTTGGGACCCCCTACATGCCCTTGCTCTATGTCGGTTCTTATGTGAATCACCCTGTATATGTTTGTATGTTTGTATTTAACGCGGAATCTACGAACGTAATTTTGACCCACTTCAAAACGTCGGATTGAATTGAAACTTCGCACATTCATCAAGATCCGGTAACAGTAGCATAATTTAATAGTTTCGTCCCATCATCCTAATCAGGATCTCCACGATGAGCGATTTCTTTTTCTCGAATAAAATGGTGAATGTCGCGTCACCAAAAATTCAAAATGTTCCTTCACCAAAACATCAAATGTTCGTTTATGCTTCGAATAAGTTCACAATGCTTTTTTATATCCAGATGTCCAGAGATACGGCAGTGTCCTGCAACAAGTTTACTCTGATGATATGAAAAAAAAAATAGTTTCATCCAGAGAGACGGTAGTGTCCAAGTATTCGTATGAAATAAAGTTTACGGAGGGAGCGATTACTTAATCCAAGGAAGGGCAGCAAGCGCGCAAATTCCCTACTTTCACTGCAGGGCGGTATTTACAAATATACAGGGTGTATCTGAATAACACCGATTTGGGGGGCGATTCTTTGTGATATTTTACTAATAAAGTTCATATGAACATGTGACCTAACTTGCTTCGTTTTCGAGATACAGGGTATAAATATTTCCACGAAGAATCATTTTTTTATTCATTACTCAATTGTCTTTTCATCAATTTGACTCAAAATTTCAATCTAGGACTTTCATTGAGATTATTCAATAACCCCAATTACAATTGTATTGAAATCTCTCAGTCTCCAACCATACCGAAATTTGGCACCATGAAAGCTCATACAGGGGGTTTTGAAATAAAGACAATTGATACTTCCAACTTCAACATCCTGTATCTCAAAAACGGAGCAAACGTGCTTCCCTTGTAGGAATTTCATGTTTTTTCCTTGACATTGACATTTACTTATGTCAACGTCTTGTCTACGTCATTATTTGACATTATTTTCAGTGTTTTCTGACCCTATTACTCTAGATTTAAACACGTGCTGGCTGTTTGATGTTTTCTTATTTTAGTAGCGCTTTCATAAGGGCACGGAAAACAAAACCCCTTTTTAAAAATCCGTTATTTTATGTTGTTGTCAAAAAAAACAAACCTTTTGGCAAATTTTAACCCTTCATATACCATTTCGGTATATGAAATTTCAATAAGATTAATTGTATGCGCTCTCAGGGCACGGGGCCCTTCATTTATTGAGAATCCGTTTTTTTCATTTATAAACTCGATTTTTCGACTATGGACATAACAATTTCACAACTAGTAGCATCACATTTTTTCAACTCAAAGTTAGTCAAGAGCAAATTATATTATTATTTGTCGAAATGCCGATAACGAATGAGGAGGCATTTGACATGCTAACAGTTTAAATTTTGATATTATTCCGAGTATTTCTCCGGTTCTTCAAGATGTATCAACGCGCAGTTCTCACCATTTTTCTTCTCGTCTACTCAACTTTCATATCATAGCAGGAAAAATATATATGGTTCCATTTGAAATTCTCGAAAAAAAATTGCGAATCGGCTGGCTGATTTTGCAAACGATGCTATCTAGCGGCCACCACGGGATTTAAATCGACTTGATTCGTGATTTATCGGGAAGATCTGAAAAACCCCTTCATAATGAGACCAAGATCGCATAATTCCGTTACACCAAATAGTAGTAATAAGAGTTTTTTCAGAGTACTATTCATCCTTCCCTCCCTCTTTTATTTAAATAGCTAGCGCAGTTTATTTGGATCGAAATGATTAGAAATCAACTTGAGAACATGGACAAAGTGTTTCTGATATGTCTTGATATATCAAATTTTCATAAAAACTCGTTTTTTAAGTTGGCCAATGCAATTATGCCCTCTAGCGGCTGTCCTGGAAACTTGAAAACTATTTCCAGAGATTTTTTCTTGGCCACTTTTATCATAAATGTTTTTTTCCGAAACCTGTGCGGCAATAGTTTTCGAGATACAGCCGGCGTCCTTTCTTAGTGGGACACCCGGTACATTTTGTACTTATCGTTCTTTTCGAACTTTGGCTTTTTTATTTGTACACTTTTCAATGTCTGAAAATTTATGTTGCTGTTGTTGAATAAAGTTCTGAATTATTATTGCAAGTCAAATAATCATCAATCTTTTCTATCCGCAGTCCCCCGCCCCGGACAGCCACCCCGCCCTGCTCACCGCCAACCTGTTGCTGGCCGCCCCGTTGGCCGCCCTGCCGCGCCTCCAGCCCGCCCTCCGCCTCGAGCCGTTCCCGCGGCTGCCGCCCACGCCGCCCTCGGGCAGCAGCAGCAGCGAGGAGAGCGAGGACTGCGCCGCCCCCAACAGGAAGGCCGCCCGCGCGATCGCGGCGACGAGGCAGCCCATCAACACTCCGCTGATCAGTACGCAGCTGGTGAGTGATCGACACCCTCAGCAAACCTTTTTTTTCTTTTTTTCATGTTACGAAAAGAGATATCCTGTAATGTTCAGAGAACATCGTGAGAACCAAGGGAAATAAGGTAGTAATTGGTGTTCTTCTTGAATTTCTAGAGGTTATATGCCTCGGGGAACACCTCCCTTGGCGATGTGTTCCAGAGCCTGTAACGACCTTTGTTTCTGGGGCCGTTACTTTGGCGCTTGTTGAACAGACTTCTAGACCCTGTCGAGGTTTCTCGGGCGCCAGATTGTTTTTGAGGTAGTTTACTCTACCTGCTCTGCACCAAATACCTTGGTACAGAGGCCCAAAGTAGCACAGTGAAGAAGACACAGTGTGTCTAGTAAACCAGGGGTCAGTGCTGTTGAATTGACATGGAATCAAGGGGCCAAGAGACTGTAGGCTTTAATTACAGCCCCTTGGGGAATCCTGGAATACTGGGTGCTCTGGATGGATGTACTTTCACTATCGGGTTGAATTACCACCATCCCAATATTGATTATCAGGAATATGGTTTCTGGAATGGAAATGACTTTGTACCTTTGTTATCAGGACAGGAAAATCAGAAGCACATAGACAGGTCGAGTACAGGTTTATTCAATTCCCTTTTTGTGCATCAGTTGTTACATGAAATCAAGTAAATAAATTATCAATAATCAATAAATTCCTACATCATACATGTTTATGTATTTAAATTGACATTCCTATTGACACTGACACTGACAGTCCCGAGGAACAGTTTGTTCCACTGGGCATATGCAAACACCTTAGAACATGAAATTATCGAGTAGCAGTAGCAAAGGTTAGGCCACAGGCAAGCAAAAAAACGCAAGAACAATAAATGCAAGCAGGAAAATATATGTCATTAACTTAACCAAGCAGGAAGAGAAAACAGGCAGGATACTTGAGCAGTGCACCACAGAAAAATACCAAAGCCCGGAAAGCGAGGACGAGTGCAGGTTTACTGTAAGAACGAATCCTGTTGAGTTCTATACAATCAAGAAAGCAATCAACTTCCTCCTGCAAGTCCATACTTATGTTGTCAACATTTTTCCCTCGTTCGTTTCTGATTTGCTTGGATGGTATTGGAGTCCTGGAAGAGAAGGCGGTATGGAGGGTACTATCATCCGCGAAGCTGTGTACTGGACATGAAATTGCTTCCAACAAAACGTTGATATGGAGAAGAAATAGTGTTGGTGCTAGAATTGATCCTTGCGGAACACCTGCATTTATGATAAGAGTGTCAGATGAAACTCCGTCGACCATTACATGGAGAGGCCTGTTCGAGAGAGAACTAGCTAGCAGAGAACATAGCTGGGGAGGCAAGTCATAAGATGGAAGCTTGGCGAGGAGTCCGTGGTGCCAGACTCGATCGAATGCTTTGGAGATATCAAGTGCTACGGCTAAGGTTTCACCATATTTTTCAATAGATTGCTTCCATATATGTGAGACGTAAGCGAGCAGGTCACCAGTTGATCTCTGATGAAGGAAGCCATGTTGCCTATCGTTGATAATACCTGAATGTTCCAGGTATATTTCGTGAGCTCGATGTTGATAGCTTTCTCCATGATCTTTGAAATAATAGTTAGCAGTGCGATCGGTCTGTAGATGCTAGGTAGGGTCTTTTTGCCTTTTTTAGGAACTGGTTGTACTCTTTCAAATTTTTAGTTGGGCTGGAATATCCCCAATTTGTAAGAGTAGTTGAACAACTTGCAGAGAACAGGTGTTAGTTTGGGAGCACATTTCTTGAGAACAATCGGTGGTATTCCGTCGGAGCCACAAGCTTTGTTGGTGTTGAGGCCCAATAAAATCTTCCATATAGTACGTTGGTGAAAGGTGATCTCAGGCATATGACTGTCAATTATTGGCGTTATGTTTGGAGGTTGTTTTTTCCGATGTGTGGAATTTCCAGCAAATAAATGTGCAAAAATGATGGCTTCCTTTTGGCTTTTCCTTGGCTAAATAACAATAAGTCATGGATACCATCCATCCTTATCAAAGTGTTTCAATATTCAAGTCGGTCGACCACAAAAATTATATTAACAAATCATTGTGTTTGTGACTAGTTTCGGCTCAACGGCCATCTTCAGACACATGAAAATACCTAAGTAGGTGACATGTGGAAATGCTCTACGAATATCTCTACTGTTGATTCGATGTGATCGCTGATGGTTACTGTTTTTCCAGAAGGGATCCACGGGCACCTTGATCCTAACGGAAGAGGAAAAGAGGACGCTCATCGCTGAAGGTTACCCAGTTCCTACCCGCCTACCACTCACAAAAGCAGAAGAAAAATCTCTCAAGAAGATCCGAAGGAAAATCAAAAATAAGGTTAGTTACATTGGAACTTTGATTATCAGGACACAATGCTGAATTATTTTTTTCTTCAAACGTCAGCTGCAGTCACAAACGTTGTTAGGATACCTTCCTACTCGTTTTTTCACCTTCGCTAATTGGTTGCGTGCAAGAACTGTCAGATGAACGGCCCTGGAGGTGAAACATCGAAACAGAACCTCACTTTTCTTATTTGTCTACAGATGATTGAAATAGTTTTTACAATCATTTTGGCTTACAAATAGTGTGTTTCGGCTATTTATTAATTCGCGCATGCCATCACATTGTGCTGTTGTACAATGCACACAAAATGTAGCGAGAGATGAATGAATATGGATGGTACATTATGATAATGCTGGAAGATATGGTGCGCGCATTCGGCCATTATTACGTATTGAAAATTTCAGAAAAATCACTCGAACCGCCTACTATGATTTCTCTACGTCACAACGAGCGAGACGTTAATTCTACATTTTCCCGCTAGATGGTGATGCTTCTATTGCTGCTGAGACGAGTGGAAATGAAATGGCAAATGGCATTTTAGGTACGCGGAACATATTTAACATGTATGTAACAGTGGGATTATTCAACTCTCAATTCGAAAAATCTGCGACAATTTCAAAACTGACAGATGTTATAATTGTGCAATGTCGCCATCTATTAGAAGATCGACGGAACCATTGCTCTCGCTGTTCTCGAGAGGTCGAGTAAAATTTCTGAAACAAAAGCGCATCAGTAATTACACCATATCTTACTTCCATCATTATTATGATTTTAAAGTAAGCACCTACTATAATCACGCACATATAGTTTTCATTTTGAAAGTTGGTAATTTCTCTGATTCCTCATCGGAATTCCTTCTGCAATAGAAGCTAATTAAAATACTCGTGAAATTTCTAAAAGAATGCAAGAAGATTCGATTCATGCAATCAAACGGGAGGACTGGTCTGACATGCTGACGAAATACGATCGTGTGTGTTGTAGACATTTTCAATCTATTAGCAGTATTAGCTTCTATTGCAGAAGTGGCAACAGGAATATCAATAAGAAATGGCAAAATTTCATAATGTAAACTATGTGAGATTACTATTTACCTGAAAAATTATATTCCTTCGTTTCTTGCTGTATTTTTTGTGCATTGTTCAACATCACAATGAGAAGGCATGCTTGAATTAATGAATAGCGCAAAGAAAATGATTCGTATGCCAAAACATTGTGAAAAACTATTTCAATCCTCTGATTCCTCTGTGAACAAATGAAAAAAGTGAGGTTGTGTTTCATTGTTTTACAGAAAAGTGAGGTTGTGTTTCGATATTTCACCTCCAGAGTCGGTCATCGTGCACGCCACCTATTATTAACGAAATGCAGAAGTAGAATATAAAATCGTACCTAACCTAGATTCTCAAACGGTGAAATATATCCTACATTCTTAAATTCTTACCGATTCAGATGAGATTTAATTCACCAGTCACCTGTTCACTTTGGTCGTTTATTATCATAATTTCATGTAACATACAATCCTCAGATTCGCTTCAATATATCTGCAATTCCCAATTCTCAGATTGTTGCTAAGCATGTCACCATTAAACAGTTGAATGAGGCGGGAATTTTGACATACTATAGCTGCATTAACTCAACTTTACTAAAAAAAGCGAATATGTGGATTTTGTGAATCGATAATAGCATTGATGATTTGATTTTTGATTTTACCACACCAGACCTATTCTTCCAACGCTTTGGATCAGATTATAAAACTGTTTTAATCTTCGCCTGAAGATGCTAAAACATAGTCGGCAAAACAGTGTCGAGGCGTTGAAAATATCGGTTTGGTTAGTGGTAAAACAGTGTACTGTGTGATATCATCATAGAAAATGCGTCATTTTGTGTGACGATGGGCTTCAGCTTCGCTAGACGCTTCGCCTCGCAAATGCAAAATTCGCTTGTCAAACAAAGTGTCACTTTTGATCCTGATGAAACAATCTACTATTAATTTCTATAATGAACGTTTGGAGAAAAAAATACTTCACAATCCTGCCATGATATTTGAAAAGTTACACTTTCTCCATATTGAATTTTTTTTCGGACAGATTTCTGCTCAGGAGAGCAGGAGGAAAAAGAAGGAGTACATGGACCAGCTGGAGAAAAAAGTGGAACACCTGGTGACAGAGAACAACAACTACCGGGTGAAGATCTCCGGCTTGGAGGACTCGAACACCAGCCTGCTGAGCCAGCTGCAGAAGCTGCAGGCCATCGTCTCGAGGACGCACCCGCAGCTCATGAAGCAGCTCAAACAGATCAACTGAAGAGGGGTGGTACGGTTGGTTCGTTGAGGTTTTTTGTCAGTCGCATCTGTTGACGTTATAATGTACAAAAGTTGAAATTGTTGATGAAGTGCGCTGGTGTTCCCAAAGGCTGAAGTACTTCAGTATAAGTACATCAGGGTGTTGATTGAGTGTGTGGTAAACTGGTGAAACTTCAGAGGGTGACATTTTGTATTCTGGAATACATTGGGCGAGTGGACTAATATTGAATTATTGGCATTCAATTACTCCACTGTATCGTTAGGGACCTAAATTAATTTTTGAAACACTTCTAACGCTTTTTTTATGTAAATAACGAGTCTATGTTCGAAATTCTTGAATTTCTGAGCTCATTTCATTCATTTGGCGATACGTCGAATTAATGATGACGTCAGTTTTTATGCTGTTTCGTTATTGGTCAGTCAATCTTCCATTCCCACTCATGAAGCATGGTTGTCAAGTCACCAATTATAACCAAGTTGTCCAAATGATGTTAGAGTTCTGTCGTTGAATAAAACATAATAGGGTGACACTCGGCAACCGGACGATTTTGAAATTAGTGTTACACAAATTACTCATTCCCACTCATAAAGCAAAGTTTCCAAAGCACCAATTATAATCAAGCTATCAAAAAGATGTTAGAGTCTTGTCGTTGAATAAACAAGCAAGTCCAAATATTTTTTATATACAATAACAAAATATCATGTAAATATTGGAGACTTGGCAGCATTGTGCTGAATGCTGAGAACCGTTACCACCGATACAACAAGGCCAGCAGACTCTGACGTAAACAGCTCGTGACGTCACCAAGAGAGGCCAGTGTTTGATTTTATCGCTTGTCGACTAACGCGTCAGTTCGTGTTAATTCATCGGTGATTCACGTATATTTTTGAAACGGTCCCGAATTCTTTTTCTGTTTATTCATCAAAATAATTGGCGGGAAAATTACTGTTTTGTGAAATATTTTGTGTTGTGATCGGCGAAATAACAATGCCTTTCAAGTGTTGTGTTCCTTTGTCGGGGGAATTATTTGGGTGGTTCAAAAGTTCATGCTTTTAGTTTCCCGTTGGACGAGAAGCTATCGAAAATGTGGGTGCCTATGGATATAACCCTTAAAAATTACGGTTTCAAGTGTAACGATGAAAACTATTTACTTATCCAATTTATAATTATTCAACTATAACCATTTGAATAAAATGACACTGTACTTATCTTGCAGGCCTATGTTTATGTGAACTTTTTGTCTTGGATTCACCGAAAAAAGCACCTCTGAAGTTTGGCCACATACTCAATAAACACCCTGTATAAAAACGACGAATGTTTGGATTGATTCATTAAATTATATTTTCTTTTTTTTTAAATGAATCTGAAGGAATTAAGAAGACGTGAATACTTCTGAAAATGTCACAGCCTGATCCAGAATTGTCTAAAAATCCAAAAATGATACAATGTAATAAACCGGAAGTGATCGGGAAGTGATAGATAGATTCGATGACACCATAATATTCATGTAAAGAAAAATTATTAATATGTAAAAAACGCTTTAACTGATTTCAATGAAATTGGTACAGTTAGTTGAAAAGTTTATTGAAGTTTCATTCAGTAGTAGATTTTTTCCAACTACTTGATGTTTCTTCAGTTAAGTCAATTGAATACATAACTTTTCGATTCATTGACTTTTTTACTACCTTTTATACGTTTTCGAGAATAAGGGCTGAAAATTAAGAAAAAAATACACCTCTTTTCTGGAAAACAAAAATAAAATCAACAGACTAGAAAGTTATGTTTTGATTATTTCAAATGAAAAAAAACAATATGGAGTTGAGACACAATCTACTGAATTTTCTTGTATCTTGAAAATTAACTATTTTCGCATTTTCGAGCATATTATGGAATTTATCTCAGGTTTTTTCACTCGAATTGAGGAACACCCTGTATATATGAAAAGACGAGGTGAGTAGATACTCTCTGATTTTCCAAGAATATTTTCGTAAATACTTTTCAATTTTCACAGTTTGTGAACATATTTTGTTTCTATCAATCCAAATATTTCTTCGTTTTCTTTCGTTATTCATGTACTTCAGTCTTTTTGAACTCTATTAAGTATGAAGTCTGGTAGAAATTACGTTAATTTCAACCCTACTGATGCACCAGATAATATTGGCAGTAAAATGCGAAAAACCAAACTTATTACTGTCAATTATAACTAATTATGTAATTAGAGTAATTTTTGCGGTTTCGATAATGTTAAGTACTATTATTAAACTGATATACCAGAGGTGGAACTACCATTTTTTGATTCGTCTTCCAAATTAACTTCGAGTACATTCCACAACTGATTCGAAAGCTTTGGAAAAAAGATCGATCACTATACCCAAGGTATGGGCTCGAGGGTCGAAGTAGTCCAATAAATAAGGGGAAAAAGTTAACATTAATTACGCACTATTTTCATCTTCCGGTTGGAAGTAGCTTCTGGTACCTCATTGAACCAGAGACAAAGTTTGACTGGAAAACGCGTGCGATGGTGCGATGGCGGAGAAAATGGCCCAAAAAGACCAGGAAAATAGCTTTTCAGCCAATATCTCCTAAAATATGGCAGTTAGAGATTTTCGGTTCATATAAAAATTGAAGTTCAGTTAATTTTCTACAAAATGGTCCTTATCATTTTTCTCGAAAATTTGCCCGGTTTCGAGAAAAACGGCACGAAGCGCACCTCGAATAATGAGCTTCTGTTGTATGCCGGAGAGCACAGTCCGTGTATTTACACATCGGCGGGGGGACAAATTATTCAATAACTTTGTTGAAAATGCATATTTTCTCATGATTCAAAGTTCATGTGAAAGAGGAATTCTGCTGCTACCCTGTGAATTGAGTCACGCTTGACTCTTTTGGCCATATCGGAACATGGGTCAAACTTTCTGCTCCCGGTCAATTTTGACCTCGCCAGGAATTTTTTCCTATTTTTTTTTGTATTGCACTAATTTACTCAAAATTTTCTTGATTATGGGTCCTCATAAGGTCCTTTGTCATCCCTGAAATTTGTATACCCTAATTTTTTTTAAATTTTCATTTAAATCTTTGTTTATTGAATCCCAATTTTTTGCTGTTTTTGGAGCGCGGGGAAATTTTGTGAACAACCATCAATTAAAAATTTATACATGATCTGATTGGTTTCTATGATACATCATTTGAAAGCTAAGAAGGTCTACTTTTCGATTGTGCAATTACTTTGTTAGACGAAGTCGTCCATTTTTCAATAAAATTAGAAAAAACGGGGTCAAGGAAAAAACGCACTTTTTTTCGGTGGTTTTTTTCTCCGTGCTATTTATTTCTAACATTTTAACACCTTAACTAGTGTAACGAGGGAATTCCCACCTTTCTATCGATATATATATAAGTCATACCTTTGATATCCCGGGAAAAAACCAGATATCTAAATGTACACGCTATAATTTATTACTTTCGTTCCTCCGTCGTTCGCCGCGTGTGTGCTCTACGTGGCGCTCGGGTCGTCTGCTACAAACCATGCGGCCACGCAGGGTATGATAGCAGCAGAATTCCTCTTTCACATGAACTTTGAATCATGAGAAAATATGCATTTTTAACAAAGTTATTGAATAATCTGTCCCCCCGCCGATGTGTAAATACACGGACTGTGCTCTCCGGCATACAACACAGAAGCTCATTATTCGAGGTGCGCTTCGTGTCGTTTTTCTCGAAACCGGGCAAATTTTCGAGAAAAATGATAAGGACCATTTTTGTGGAAAATTAACTGAACTTCAATTTTTATCTGAATCGAAAATCTCTAACTGCCATATTTTAGGAGATATTGGCTGAAAACCTACTTTCCTGGTTTTTTAGGGCCATTTTCTCCGCCATCGCACGCGTTTTCCAGTCAAACTTTGTCTCAAGTTTAATGAGGTACCAAAAGCTACTTCCAACCGGAAGATGAAAATAGTGCGTAGTTAACGTTAACTTTGCCTCTTTTTCCTCCTTCATTTATTGGACTAAAGGTGGATTTAATTAAATCGCTAAGAATGGGCAAGTGGGCTGATAATCAATTATTGGCATTCAATTACTTCACTGTGTTGTTCGGAACCTAAATTAATTTTTGCAACACTTTTCACGCTTTATTATACAGGGTGTCTGTAAAAGGTCTTTACAAAAACATACCACATATTCCTTAGACCAAAATAAGTCGATTTAAGTAAAATTACCTTTGTACAAAGTTGCATCGTTCGGGCTCCAGAGGGCCTTGAAGTTACAATTTTTAAATCGTTTTTAATTATTTGAAAAATCAATTTGAAATTAGTCCACTTGCCTATTTCAGTAGAATTAAAACTCCAGTTCGTTTTGGAAAAAAAATTTCGAATTGGGTGCAGTTTTTTTGTTTCAATGACATACTATAACACAGTCATTCTATAATTTTTATTTTTAATACTGCTGTAGATAGTTGAAGTCAAAGTAATATTTGCAATACAGGGTGTCAATCGGATGGTGTTATAAATTCTGAAGGGATGCGGATATACATCTTTGAAACAGAAAATCTGCACTCGAGTGTACTGGGTGTCTCTGCAAGGGCTGTACAAATCGCGAAATCCCCGATTTTCATTGAATATACACCGTGTCCCAGCTAAAATGTCCCCTCCTGTAAAAAATCAACCACGTAATCGAATGAAATCAACCACGTAATCGAATGACTTGAAATTTGGTTACCCAGTATATTTGATGATGCTCACTCGAAATATGCTATTCAATAAATCCTAGGTATAAAGGGGTTACACCGAAGTGCACCTCAACTTTCTTATTTGAATAGGGACACCCAGTATATTATTACATATTCATCAATGCCGGGTCTAAAATAAAACGATTTAATGAACATTCTAGATGATTAGTTTTTATTATTATTACACGATTGAAATCGAATGATGGCTGTCCTGCACATAACTACATACCTGTGAAGGATTACCTTCGCCATCGGTTTGGAGCTCGACCGCCAGACC